CGGGAAGTAGAAAAGTGAATATCCACACCAACAGCGAGAAACAAGTGTGCATGGTTGTAGGTTTCTTATTGAGAGGAACCAATTGACCTGTCACGTCTGTAAGGAACAAGGATTTGAGATGTACTGCTGAGACTGAAAAGACTCTTGTTAAAGTGAGCAGAAGTCCTTCACAGTGGGAGAAATGGCAATGACATGCACTGTTTACACCCAAACACAGTATGTAGGAAAGAGAACTTGGTGCTTTGGTATTGCCAGGCCCTTGCATGAAAGGTGTGCATGTGCACACTGGTCATATGACATGGTAGCAATTGTTTGGTGGTGCTGTGCCAAATCCTCCTGATGATTTTTTGGTTGTGTAGTGCTATAGTACACGTAAGCATACTCCACTGCATTTCTATCACCAGATAAATTTATCCATCTAATAATTCCAAATCTGGTAATTGACATGGTAACCAAATACTTGCAAAAAGTTTCCTAGATTTCTCTGCTCTCTTTCTGTTTTCATTATCTTTTCCATTTCCTCTCTCTTCTTCATTTTATCATATATATTATCATCATATGATAGTTTCATATTCATTCTCGATTCTGTTCCCTTGATTACATCTCTAGAATAGACTTTATATCCACCCTGCTAAAATACAGCATCTTTCAAATGTACTTTTCAGTGAACATGCTGTTCTTTTTCTTGTATTCCTCACCATTTGCTGTCCATAGAACCTCCTTTCTAGGCCCTGTAAAGCAAACAAAGAATACAATAAAAGCTTTAAGAGCATTTGAAACCAGTTTAAGAAATCTCTGATTAGTTTGCCAGCTGAAGACTCCAATTGCAGCTGTGATTGTGGGGGGAACGATTTTAATCTCAGAGAACAAACTAATTCCAGAAGACATTAACAAGTGTTTGGAGAGAGAAAATAAAAAAAAATCTCTAAAACGTACCCTGTGTTTCTGAATAGCTATATCATGGAGTTAAGAAGAAAGTGTTTTTTTGTTCTTCCTGCTGGTACCTGGTGTTACTGGCCCCTTTCTCACACTTTTATATGAGTACTAAATAATGCTACAAATCCTTTGAAAAGATCTATGAAGTGTCTGCATAACACTGCCTGTACAACATCGTTTCTCATTTAAATGATGATTTTTATAAAGCTGTCACTGTTTTTAACTGAATATCAAAACACAGATTCTTGCAAGTTGTTTCACTGAGCACGTGAAAATAAAAAATATAAGTACTTCTGGTTGATTTTTTCTCAGTTGATATTTGTGGGTTTTGTTTGTTTCAAAGGGGGCTTTTTGTTTATTTATTTTTTTTGTTTTACAAGACATTATGCAATGCTATCTTTGCTGGAAGAGTCAAATCAGCAGAAAAGCTTTTCTGGTTCAGAGCTTTGTGCTTCTTTCAGCTAGCATCAGGCAGTACCAATGCCTTCCCCTTCTTCAACTGCATCTCTGCTGGAAATTTCTTACCTGTGAAGGAGCTGCATCTTTCAGGAGCAGTACTAAATTATGGAATTGGCTCAAAATGTTATTGTGGCTGTGACCTAAGGAGAGCTGATGCTGATTTGAGCAAGAACACATGGAAAATGAGAGACTAAATAAAAATGAGATAAAAAAGTAACTTCATAGACTAGCTAAAGCATAAACACAACCCGAGGAGGGAAATAAAATGAAGAGGAAAAGATTTTAAGGAGAAAACTCATAAAAAAAAATTCCTGCATAGTGGATCACAAATAATAATTATGGCAAAAGAAGCATGAGTTCAGCTCTTACAGTCTGAGAAAAAAAAGTAATGGAGGCAGTGATGCAGAGGATGGGGTTTTGCACATATTTTGCATTAATGAGATGCAAGTTGGAATAGTTTGTAAAGCTCAGATTAGCATTATAAGTGAAGTCAAATACACAAACAAAGAGGAAATTAAATGCAAGATAGCTGGATAATGATAAATGTGCCAGGCATGCATTTTGCAAGAACAGGAAAAAACCCATGTAATCAAGCAAAGTCAAATGAAAATTACACCATGGAATGATGATAATACTTCTATCATTGTGAATTTTAATCAGAAAGCAAAATATATCTGAATATACAGTCTGAATCTTCAGAATATGCAACATAAGCAGCACTGCTTGCTGCTGAAACAGTGAATTTGTATATGTGATACAGAAGCATGACTCTTGTGTGAGTACAAACTGCTGTAATGTAATGTAGTGCAATGTAATTGAAGAAAACAGAATGTTCTTCTGCCATGTTATACCTAGAACAGATGCAAATAATTCAACAAACATAGCACGCTTCACATACTATCTATTGCATTAGAATAAGGAATAGTTTGAAAATTGAAATATGCACAAAATGAAATATTATTACATAATCTCAAAATTACATAAACAGAATGGTAGTCACTGAAAAAGCAAAATATTGGCAAGGCCTATTCAGCTTCCCTGTCTCAGCAAGACAGTCATCATCATAGCAAGCCAGCAAGTAGGTTTAGGTGTTGAGAATGCTGTTAGTAGTGAATCTTACAGCAGAAAAGTATCAACTCTGCCAGCCAGGCTCACAAAGCCAGTATCAGAGCTGACTATACTCAGGAATGTAATATGAGAAATGCCTGGCAGAAATTGTGGTAATCCATTAGAATTAACCCCATCTCCTTAGCAGTTAATACAAACAAACAATCAAACAAAAAAGAAGTTGGTCCTGACTACAGTATCATATACAGAGCAGTTGTTGATTTCCCAGGGAAATCAAATTATTTGGGGACAGTAAAAACAATCTGTAATATGACATTCTTTAAAGGTATTAATTCAGAGAGTATTAAAATTTTCAGCATGTTTCACCACATCTCTTTCCAACCTTAGACATATGGAAAGCATTGAGACCGTAATAGAGGAAGAGGAAACACAAACATGGCACCCATGTAGTACTGGTGACCTTGCAAGTTGATACAGTGAGGTGAGATTTGGAGCATTATTATCACACAAGAAACCACTAGTAATTTTGTTGCCTCACCAGTGAAACAAAACACAAACTGTTTTGCAATAATGTTTCAAGTGTAGAGGACAACTCTTTATTTGAGAAAACAAATTTTCAAGCAAGAATCCCAGGAAGCACCTAAGAATTTGAAAAGTCATTGCTATTTCCAAATATCAGAAATATATGATACTAAAACAGTAACATTTGAATTTATTTAATGAATTTGACATGGACCAGTAAGTACAACAGAGTCGTACCAGAAAACCAAGGTGACAAAATCATAACATCATAATATCAAAATGATAATATGATAATCACATATTAATGTTACCACAGAAAGACAAAAATTAAGAAGAATAAAGTTGCACTCAAACAATGAAAATATGTGCCGGTTTCCAGAGGATGTTGAAAAATAATCTGAAAATAAAAAGCACAAAATAAAGATGTGCCCATGTCCACCATTCTGACAAAAAGGTCAAACACCAGAAAAGTGGCTCTATGCACTTCCCAGGAATGACAGTACTGTCAAGGCAAATGGAATACATAAGAGTATTTTATTTGAGCCACTGAATCATCATACCCTAGATGCCGAGAATAGAAATTCTCTTGAGAATGGGGTCAGTCTGGAATAGAAATAAACACCATGTACTAACAAGATGGGATAGAGCATGAGTAATCATGATATCTGGAAAAAAAATTTTAAAAGGACAAAAAAGAGAAGTTAGTACATATGGCAAAATAAAACAGAACAGTGCAGCATTTTCAACAGGCATTAGAGCAGACTGAAGAACACATTTTACAAAACATGAAAACACACCTTAAAATTATAGGCTACTGGTCAGACTTTTGAGATCCAGGCAAAATGTCAGAGGCTTATGCAGTAGCCATTGAGGGTAGAGCAGTGAAGTGTTTAAGCATGCCTGAACTATGTGCTTGCAATCACGAGATCTCAGTTTGTCTTAAATTAGATCATATATTTATTTGAGAACAAGAATTTGATTACATCTGACTGTCCCGTCTAATAACCAGGCAAATAGCAAGCCTGAGTTTGCTGCACAGATTGCTAGGAGTATTGAAATGGTGCAAACAGAACAGAGAATAGTTTGCATTCCGTTCTTGAATGCTGAAAATATTCCCACAGAAAATTTCATTGCAGTTGAGTACAATGCTTGAAGTCATGTTCAGTAACTGGATAAAGGAATAATAGACTGAAACAGTAAGTAAGAGGCCAAAGATAAGAGTCTTATAATTACAGCCCTGATATGTATTTGTAATACTTTATTTCTGCAAGATAAGTCTCACACCTGAAGAAATATGTTTGAAGAGAGAATCCTCTGTTCTTACACCAAATCAAAGGGAAAATTCCCCATCTGGAGTATATTGAAACTGTGCACACAGAAGTTAAGATGTAATGAAATGTATATCAACAATAAAAATGTGCCCATAGCTCCTTATAAGGAGGGATTGGGAAAAAAGGTGGTATAAATCAACATGTCTCCCTATGTCTGCCTTTAATTATACTGAAAAATTATCATGGAGACACATAATTTCAAAAGCTATAAACCTTTGGTTTAATTGTTACTGAAATTTTTTTTAGTGTGTTTCTCTCACTCTATTGCCACTAGTATATGAAGATTTCAACAGACTTCATTTATGTTAAAGTTCATATAATCTCACTCCCCCAAAATGGGGTATTTAACCCCTTTGCATAAAAAAAACCCCTTAATCTGGACTAATTTAACAGAAAGCATATACAGGACGAAACATGAGAAATCTGGAAGAAAAGACAGTAACTTGATAGTTACTGTGGCTTAGTTTTATCTTCTTGGACAGGGACAATGAAATTGTGACTTATTCTAAGATGTGGCATTGAACTGCTTCCAGGACTTGTGTGCAACTGAGCTAATGCTCTATTCCTTCTTCTTTATATCAGTCATTCTTATCACAACCACAGATAAAATATGTGTTTTTCTGAAATCTAAATAAATCCCTCTTCAAAGCATACTTTTCTTGTGCTTATTAATACACAGTGATGTCTAGTTACGCATTTGGTTTATTTATATCTAGTCAACTACTCATTTACATTAAAAAAAGAATGGAAAAATTATCTTACTCATGCAGCTTCAAAGCTGTAGCTTCACTGATAATTACAAGTCACCTCTGCAGTTACTGAAAACTTACAGTGTAAAATGGGACAGAGCACAAATTTTCTCAGCCTGTCTTCATAGGAGAGGTGTTCCAGTTCCCTTTTCACTTCGTGGCCTTCCCTGGACTTGCTCCAACACTTCCATATCCTTCTTATTTTGGAGGCACCAGAGCTGGATGCAGCACTCCAGGTAGGGTCTCACCAAAGCAAAGTACAGGGATGGAATTTCCTCCCTCACCCTGCTGGCCACACTCCTTTAGATGCAGTCCAGGATATGTCTGGCTTTGCGGGCTGCCAGCCCACACTACTGGCTCATGTTCAGTTTTTTGTCAACAATAAATAGGGGTTTGGGTTTCCCCCCCCTTCAGTATTACAGGGGTTTAAAGTCATACTGAAGTCTTCTCAAGAGTGGGAGTAAAAATCCTGACCATCTGTTGTCATGCTGCCAAGAAGAAGCATTGAATTCTTCCTTTAAGCGTACTACTTCTTTTATGAATATTCGTTGAAATGGATCGATGGGTTCAAGCCTATTAGGGGGTCAAGATAAAGATGATACAATGAGAAAAAAATAGAATTCTTTACAGCTTGCTCTAGAGCAAATGTTTTTAAATGTTTTGTTAGAATCACAGATGGTTTGAGTTGGAAGGGACCTCAAGACCGTATAGTTCCAACCTCCTCCCGTGCCCAGCCTTTCACTATATCAGGCTGCTCAAAGCCCATCCAACCCGGCCTTGAACAATTCCAGGGATGGGACATGTCCAGCTTCTTTGGACAACCTGTGACGGTGCCTCACCACCCTCACAGCAAAGATTTTTTTCCCCTAATATCTAATCCAATCTACATTTCTTTCAGTTTGAAGGCCCTTGTCCTTTCACCGCAGTTCCTGATGTTGCCCAAAAGAAAAGAGATTTTTTCAAGGGCCTTACAAAACCAAAACCAGACAAGAAAAGAATGAAGAAGAAAACCAGAAGCCCATAGGATGAAAAAACAAGTGAAAACTCCACGTTACTCTTAAACATAGAAAACGTTTGTTTCAAGGGCTAAGTTTTGCCACAAGAAAAGTGTCCCTCAATTCGGCGCCTGCAGAAGGCCGTGGCAGGGCTGAGGACGCTACTGCTGTTTTGACTGTGAAGGTTGCATAAAGCAGCCCCACCAACACGGGCTGCCGGCAGCAGCCGGACCTCCCCCGCCCGACCCGCCAGCCTCCGGCACCCCTCACGCCAACATCCGGGAACCCCCCGCCCCCTGCCCGGTGGTCTCGCCCTGACGTAGCCGCCCCTCAGCCCAATGGGGCTCCGCTCTGCTTCCGGCGTCCGGTGCCGTCTCCTGGAAACGGGCGTGGGGTAGCGACCATCTGAGTAGGGTGCGGGGGGGTGCCGGGGAGGCAACCCGGTGGGACCTGGCGGTGTGTTCCAGCTGAAACAGAGGAGAGCAAAACTCTCCGGTTCCCGGAGTCACCTTGCCTGCTGAGCCGGTGCCTTTCCCGCTCGCTTGTGTTTTGTGGCGCGCAGGGACCAGTGTCCCGTCCGGACACTGTCACCGGGGCATGGGAGACTCCGTCCCGAGGGCGGGGCTCCGCCGTTTCGGTTGATGGCGGCGGCGTGCCGGTGGTCTATCCCGCGGTGCACTACGGCTGTCGTTCCTATCCTTTTCCGCCGGGTGCACCCCCCGCGCAAAGGTACGGCTGTCGTTCCCCTCCTTTCCCGCCGGGTACATCCCCGGCGCAGGAACGGCGTTCGCTTCCCTCCTTTCCCGGTGTGTCTATGCCCCAGCACAGGTACAGCTGTCGTTCCCCCACCCTTCCCCGCCGGTTCCACACCCGCACACAGGCCCGGCTCTCGTACCTTTTCCCCTTTACCGCGCACGTCCGCGGCCGTTACCTGGCGGAGCGCGCGGCCCCTCACCGCCG